TTAGGAAAATATGAAAGAGGCAAAAACTTGCAAATCATTTTTGACACTTGCTGATACTTTACAGGAAATGTTTTCATTTCTTTTCCTCCTTAATTTTCTCATTTTCTTGTTTCACTCTTCTTTTGCTTGCCTTGTTCTTTATGTCTAAATGTCGTGATCATGCAAACTTTATTCATATAATTTCGACTGTTGCTATAGACGGCTACGCACCATGAATACACATTGATGTTGTTGGCTTCTTATTGTTGGGAAATTAGGAAGAAAATAGTCATAAGAGTCTGGTTTGAGGGGTCATGTGCGCATTTTTTTAATTAGGTAAAGCGGCTGTCAGATGTCATAACTGGCATAAATTCATATACTTTGTGTTTTGAGCTTTAAGCCAGTCTGCATAAGTGCACGTGTGACTTTACAGTCACAAACAAGTCTAGTGTCAAGCAACCAATCCAAACTTAAAGTCAGTCATTCAAACTGCAATCTCCCAAAAGCACATCATTCTTATCAAAATAGCACCCCAAAAATACTTATATATACAGTGTGCATGTCGGATAGAAAGAAATATTGACCAGGGCCACTTAACAAAATATTTCATTTAACAAATCGATGAGCGAAGGAGGCAACAATCGGTTAAATTGAAGTGATGGTCGAGAAAACGAGTCGACTGAACAACTTTGAAATTCACAAAATGAAATATGAGTGCGAATGAAAGAAGTGATTGATGTCTCGAAACAAAAAAAAAAGACCAATGAACGATATCCTGATTGATTTTCATTCTTGTCGGGTTTGAAAATCGCTTGTGCGGAAAATAAAAAGAACGGAAAGGAAAAATGTTTATTTTTTTTTTTCAAAAATTGATGAAGCTTTTGAGATTTGATGAAAGCTTTTGAAGAGCTTGCTTGCAGTGTTTTAGAAAATTGAAAAGAAAAGAATGAATGATGCTTGCTGTAGGCGAGGAGGAACAAAATAACATTGTTGTCATTGTTAAACGCACAGAGTTGGACATTAATGGAATTTTTAATAATTGAAATAAATTGGATTCTATCGAGGTCAAGGTTATGTGCTTTAGTGTAAAAATAGAGATTGGATTTATTTTTTCTGGTTGCTTATAAGTGGTCATGACGTGAACATGCTGTGGGTGTCGCATAGAAAAAGTATTGTGCCATGTGGCTTCAAGCTTATCGAACAATTGATTGTGTTTGACTTGCGATATCGATTTGATATTGGAATCAATTTATGTTTTTAATTTGAATCTTCAGTGTGAGATTGCTGAATGTGATGGTTGGTATAAGTTTTTGATGGAAGGACGAGGTTGGGTGACGAAAGTAAGGTAAAATCACAAATTGAAAAATTATAACATGACTTAAGAGCCTTGCATTTATAGAAGGTAATGGAAATAACTGCAGTGGCTAAGCAAGGAAAGACGAATTGGTTCTTGGTTGGAAAATGAAAATTTTGTTTGTCTTTCAGTGAGTTCCTAACATGAGAGGGAAAACCCACTTCTGAATCAAAAATTATCTTATTAAACAACTCTTGTATGTTTTTACAAGTTCTTTACAATAATTTTAAACTGAATAAATTTCTCTTGTGCGTCATTCATTTATGGTTGCCATAACCTCAATATTGCCTCGATAAAAATTAAAGTAATTTATTTACTTTAAAATTTCTCCTAAAATGAAAGAGAAATTACGCATCTAGAATGTAGAAACGCAATTTACACGATTTGCTGCCTACATACTCTTAAAAAATATTCCGAAAATTTAATTTTATTTGTCTTTCATTAAAAGCTTCCTGCTCACTGCATTAAATGAAATAAAATTCGAGAAGAAAGGGAGAAAAAATCCTTTACATACCACTGGGTTCAATTTACTTAAAGAATCTAAAAGTGTGCAATTATGACTAAAGCGGAAGGTAAATTGTTCGTCCGAAAATAGCAGGATAAAAAATTCGGAATAGAAACAAAAAAAAATTACTCAGAAACAGCGCAAGAAGAACACTTGCAAACACTTGTGGCATCTCCATCCATCCATTTTTACTGATTTATTCACCGAACGCTATGGCATGAATAATTTCATTACTTTAGTTTCTCTTCTTCCACCTTTATCCACGAGGAAAAGCAACAAAATGTTTCCTTTTCTCTCTTTTTCCTTTTTTTTTATCACGAAAATTAAAGGAAGGAAAAGACGAAGGAACATAGAACGTTTTGTAGAGAAAACTAAGGGTGAAATAAAATTATTAAAGGTACATGCACGCAATTAATTGTGAGCGCATTTATATTAGAATATGTAGTTCTTTAAATCGTGAGATTTTTTATTATTTTAGCATGTGCTTGTGATTGTTTTTGAGGGAAATTCTTGACTTCTATCAAAAACTTAGAGACATTCAGTTGGACATTAAGCAACACTTTGATTATGTAGATCTGAAGTTAAAATGGTCAAGTACCTTAAAATGTTAATAAAAAAATAGTGTTTTAACAATCTAAGGTTCGAAACCTTGTGAAAACGAACAACTTTTCATGTGTAATATACACACAGAAGTTTTTTTGTTTGAAGGAAATTTGAGCGGTTTTTAAAGTCTAGTCTTAGCCCTGAGTAGGCAAACAATAAATTTAAAAAAAATTGTAAAGGGCTCAGCCTTTCTGAAAGGTCAATCAGATTGACCATCGTCAAGACAATAAGACATCGTCAAGACAATTCTTCTGTAGTTTGTCAGTTAAAAAAGTCTATATAAATCCAATTTGTATCGAATATTCATACTATGTGTTTACTTACTATGTGTGTGAACGATGAGTAATTGTTCAAATGTGAAGAAAATAACACAACATATGAAATGTTTTATGATGGCTTTAAGTGCTGCTCCTTAAAGAACCTAAAATATATGGCAATTTTAAAAACGAATTAGTAAAATCAAAATAAATTTAATTCTTAATTAAGATTTGCTGTTTAAATTAAAGTTTCATGATTTCAAATTCACTTTCTCTGTTGGAAATTAGTCATAAAAACTTTCAAAAAGGCTCACATAAAGCCTACGTTACGTAAAATGATTAAGTAAAATCACACAACATTAAGTTCTACGTTGCGTTTGCTCTTTCTCGATGTAAATTAAAGATGGAAGTCGATGGACAGGTAAGAGAGAAGCTGATGCAAGATAAAAGAGAGATTAAACTGAGAAAGCAAATTTTTTGATGGTTCTTCTTTCATAGTTAATCATATCAAGTTTAATTTCAACCAAGGAAATGAATCAATCGTGTTTTCATTCCATTACTGCTCACATTTCAGGCTTTGAATCAGAACAGTCCGAGATAGAGGCAAAAACGTTCTTTACCACACACCTGAGCATGAAAAAGAACCACAATTTAGGGTTGGGGCTAGACACTTGTAATTAAGCTTCTATTGATTACAACCCAAATCATCAGAGGCTCATTTTTCACATTAAACTACACGATACGTCATTGGACCTGATGTAAGTCTAATGCTGTGTGTGAGAACAGGCATCTAGACAAAAAATTGCAAGTCTCTTTTACGAGCAAGCAATCAATGTCCTTGATGCCACTCTACATCAAGGATGAACCAATCAATAGCCACGATAGTAAGTCTCACAGGCAGAAACACATGACTCATTGGCTCGATTTACAAAACAAAAACAAGAACAGAAAAACTTTTTAAAAAAAGGGTCAAAAGACTTTGCTCCCTCAAGTTTTACCCCTCCATATCTTGCATCGAGCCCCCTCTGACCTATTCAACGACTCCCACTCTTAATTTACATCAACAAAGGCTGACGAAATGTAAAACTCAATGCAATGCGTTTTTAAGTAATCATTTCACGTATTGCAAGCATTACGTACGCAACTGCAGGAAGTCAAATGGCTGGTTTCATTAAAGAAAAGGAATTTGAAAATCTGAATGTGTTTCAGATGACGTAAATCAATTAAATTAAAGTCGCCCTTGAATGTCCTATTTATCAGTTTACTTAGCTTTTTCTTCGTTGTCACTAGCCTCTTGCTTCTTTAATTGTGTCCTGGTTCCTTCAAGCTTCATCAATCTCACTTTCACTTCAATTTTACAGCTTCTTGAATTTAATTTTCTTTACTTTCAATGTTCACTAAGAAAATTTTTCATTTTTTTCTTCACTTTTAATTTTTTCATCACTTTTGGCTTATTTTCACTTTGTTTCCATTTTAGCACTTCACTATCACTTTTATCTTGAACTCTAAGCACTAATAATGTCAAGTTCCAATTTATTTACACCGATATGCATCAATATTTAAAAACACGTCTTCAACGAATTAAACTGGAGAAAATTGTGACAAAATCGAAAGTCAAAGGTTACTGAGAATTTTGATTTTTTTTTTGACTGATTGTGATTTCACATTTTCTGTCGTTAATTAAAGGTGTATTCAGCTCCTATTCATGTCAATTTCTATCGTTTGTTTACATTTATTTACAATTGAGCATTTTTAACGGATAACTTGAATTTAATTATCTTGTTTCGGGAAAATTTTGAAAAAAACAAACGGTAATTCTTCATGTTCCAGCAAATATCTTATTGAATTGGTATTTATTCATCATGAAATGATTCAATGTCCTGAACAGGATTGTTCTATGGATGTGGAACTGATGGATATGATTGAAAATTATCAAAAATATATAGTATTAATTCAAAATTATAAAAGCCGTTTGAAATTGATGATTTTTTTAATATGCTGAGAAAAATTGATTTTTTGTGGGTTTTAAGTACGTGATTTATGATTGACTAGGGATCCAGAATTCCCGTTCCCGTAAGATTTCGGGATTTTTTTCCATAAAACCTTAGCAAAATGAAGAAATTTCTGTTGGCAAATGGGGATTTTCCCCCTGCCTACGTGTCTAAACCTTAACAAGTCAAAATGCATACAAAACACAACCATCACTAATTTAGTCTGCTATAAAAACAATTCGCTAAAAATAAAAACAGATGAACAAAAAGTAAAACACTGAAGGCGAATACAGTCATTAATTACAAGCTGTTTTTATGATTCATTTCTCAACTTCTATCCCATTCTCAATTCTCATTCCAGTGTCAGAAGCATTCATTGTACCACAAGAAATTCCATCACTGCTATCGTTGGTCTACAGTAATATTCCACCTATCAAAAAAGGTAATAATAGTAATAGATTTAACATTATATTTATTATTTGTGAGTTATGATATGTTGTGGGATAGAACTAACACATAATCATCATCATCACCATGTTACGGCTACTTTTGGTGTGGATATGTTCTACACACCTTTTCAATCATCATCATCTCACTCACTTTCCTTCCATCTACGTCTTGTTACATTCTATTCCAATAATAATAACAACAATAAATTTATTTTCATTTGATTGATAACTCTCGTTAATTATATCATATTACAAAAATCCCCATTGATCAAGCACATTGACCTCTTTGCGCAAAGCGAGTGTGAATCCAAATAAACTTTATTTTTGGTCAACAGTGGAGTAAGGGATGGTTCAAGATTGTTGTAGGATTTTTTAAAATTTAATTTATTTTTTTAAATAATATTTTTAATGTCCAGAACCCCCCTCCTCCTCTTCTCCTATTTTGTTGGAATACACACTGATGTCTGGTTGTGTTTGCTGCTATATACAATTGGGGGATATTAATTATTTCATGTTTCTCTCTTGTCTCTATCATATTAAAGCAAAAAAAAAAATCTTTATTAATTTTTTTCCTCCCTTTTTCTGGCATGTCCATGCTTGTCATTACAATATTTTTTTTTCCTCCCTCGGTGTTGTGTAAGTTTATGTAACATTGTGTATCATATTTTGTTATGTAATTTGTAAAACTTGTGGAGGTGGGTCTATTAATAGAGGTTCTGATGCCACACAGTTGATCATATTATAAATGTGTTAATGAAAGTTGAAACTTTTTAATATTTTAATTATAATTTTATTTTATATATTTAATTAATGATTGAATGAATTTTGAGTTGATTGTGGATTTTGTGGGTTTTGAATTCATTGATTGGCATTGTTAAATATTATGTCAGCACAAAGGTTTAAAAAAGTTTTAAAATTGATTTGTTTTCGGGAAACGTTTCAATTTATGAAGAGGCAGGTCTAAATTTTAAAGCTTAATTAATACACTTTTACCAGTATTTGTCAATTTTAAAGCTTTGAGAGAGATCCTTTTGTAAAAAGACATAAGAAAAATCACTTAGAAATGAGCCATTCTTCTACTCGTTCGTCAATGTGCTACGACATCTTTCAAAGCGATTGAGATGCACTTTTGAAGTTCCAAGATGCCAATCAATGGAATCTCAAAGTGGAGAACCATCAAGATTAAGTTTTAGGCAAGCTATAAACTAGCATAGCTGTAAGCTTACTTAAAACTACTTTTTTCAATTTACTTCATTGAATTTCAGCCTTTGAAATCTAATTATTATTTTTCTACATCCTTAAATCCAGTATGCATCATACCCGAATCCTCAAATCCCCTAATAGAATTTCCATATTTTTTATTACCAAAAAATTAAAATTATTTTCACTTATTATGCAGTGAATTATAATACTTCATTCATAAAAACAATATTTACATAATAAAGCATGTATAATTGTCGTACAAAGGCACCAAACGTATGTCCTGAAGAGCTTTTTCCCCTTCAATATTTATTTTTGCCTCCAAAAATATTAAATCACACCCGAAAAAAGTCACATTTTAATGGATTTTGACTACGTGACTATTTTTTATTTGGTGATTATTGCATTATTAAAAGGACTTAGCCTTCTTATTTAATGGCATTAAGTACTTTGAATTTTTTGTTCGTTTATTTTGCATCGTATAATGTGCTTTGGGTCTTGATGTCAAATGCTTTGTTTCATTAACAAGCTTATTTTTAGTGTCAATAAACTTTTAATTAATATGTATTAAAAATTGGGGGTGTCATGTTTTGCTTAGCAGCAAACAAGGAGCTAGTCGTTATATCCCAATCGAACCCCTTTTTGCTATGCTTCCAGCCAGTTCCATAAATTCAAAATCAACCTCCATTCCAGCACAAAATCGAGCTCAAAAATTCATAATCCACAAAATTAAACAAACACAAAAAGAATCACAATTTAAATCAAATTTATTCAATTCAAAATTCATCCCAAAATTCCATTCACAAAAGACAAAAACCCAAGCCATTCAACCCTTTGAAATCTCAGCAAAACATCACAAAGTACGACAAAACTTTTCCACATCCCAACAAAAAAAAAGGCACTATAAATCATCATCACAGAATGTTAACATAAAAGAGTCACCGGAAGAAAATAAATCAATAAAATGATGCTAAACTCAGTTTGAAGGTCTCTTTATGCTGCTCATGTAATACTAATAATAATAGCTGTAATGATGCTGATGATGAAACAATTTTCTGAGAATATATTTTGCTCCTTTTTACATTCACAATAAATGTAAAAATTGTAACTTTACCTTGTTGAGAGATTGCTTGGCTACTTGTTTACACAGAGACACTTTTCCTTTCATTCCTTTTGTTTTTGATGCGGTTTTTCACTAGAATATAAATGTTGTGGGATGGTTATTTTGTTCAAGAGAGTCAATAACTTTATATAATAGGTTTATAAAATGACTGTCGAAAAATGAGATTTTATGGACCCCACCCTCGACTGTGTGAAGGACTCCGGTCCAAGTTCGAATTCCGAGCTGAAACTTGGCTATTTGAAAGACACTTTTTCGACACTTTTCGACATCTTTTTAGTTTTTTTCGACACTTCAGAGATGAAGCACAACTTCAGACTTGCTTCTCAAATGTTGAACATCATTGATGAACGATCCCTAATAGAGTTGACTTTGTTGGCTGTATAAATTAATTGTGATTCTTTATTTTATAAGTTGGTGCCTGAAAATGACTGCACTTGATTCTTTATCAGTTCAATGAAGATTTAAAAAAATGCGCTTCCTTAACCCTCATCCTCTGTCCTCGCTTTCACGTCCTATCACTTTCCTTTATTCTCCCACTTCTTCTAAAAGAAACAGTCTTCAAATTGACATGAAATGTATTTACCTTTTCCTTAACAACACAGCATAACATATACAAACATTTTGAAAGGTGATGATTATGACAGGCCTTTACAAAGTTGAAAGAAGAAGGAACAGAACAAAAAAAAAGTTTGGGTTAAATGGATGAAAAATACATTTCACAATTGTAATAATAAAATTTGGCCTTTTTTCCTGTATATGCTGGTTTGATGATGGAAAGTTTTTTTTTTCAAATATTTGTACTTCCGTACAAAGCTTCCCTCTGTTTTCCTTGCTGTATATAAAGCCAATTATGTTATAACCATTTTTGACATATTTTGATATTGAACAAAAAAATGTGTAATCATAACTTTTTCTTCTCGTCTTATCTTTATAGGAACGGACTCAAGGATTGGTGAGTAAATCGACCAAAAATTGTGTGGCGAGAAAATAAAAAGGGTAAATTGAAAACTTTCTTTCTGTATTAATTTTTTAAGGCTTTGGATATCGTTTTGGTGAGCATGCAGATTTTCAAGTTCAATGGGAATTGGGACCGCAGAAGGAAACACAGCCCATTGGCGATAAATCAACACAGAGTAAAAGAAATATTAGACCGACTGATGAGTATCAGCTTTTGAAGACGATAAGGAAGGAGGAGAAGGTAAGGAATTGATTGATTTTGTAGGAGAATGAATTATTAAAAGTACGGAAAGGATTAAAAGTGTCTGAAACTGAATTTTAAATTACATTGAGTTCAAAAAATATCCATTTTCATTTTAGATCAAGTACGAGGCAACAACATCAAAAAGCTGGCTCTCAAATTGGTTTGACAATGTCAGAAAAAGTTTTACAGAAGCTGAGACGACAACAAAACAGCCAGAAGTAGTTCGAGCACCAAGAATATCAGCCTCTGCCCTACAGCAACTGAAAAAGTTGTACGAAAGTGCCGAAAAAAACAAAACGAATGAAACTGAAAATGATTCGAGAACGGAGGAGCCACTTAGTGTTCAGCACCTGCCAAAAGCTGCTCTCGATATATTGCAACAACCAAATAATCCTCAGCATAAATTACGATTTGTTAATAATAAAAATAATAGAAGTAAAGAGAGAGTTGATTCCATCACGCGAGATCTTGCAAATGTTGATTTAGATTAAGTGATTTATGCCTTATAGATATCGAATGAGTGAGTGAGTGAATTATGTGTACATATGGGAGATAAAAAAATATTATAACATATAGGTTGAAGCTTATGGTGTACTTAGGCAGCATATATACGGCTTTTTTATACTTTTTACTTTATTTTTTTTCGGCTTCTGTAAATAGCATTTCAATTTTCATTTATGATTTTTACCACGTTTTTTTTGTGTACGTTTATCCTGTATTTTTTAAGAGGAAAATAAAAATAAAATTGTAGGGGAATATAAACATATTCTAAAAGTTTTGATGATCCAAAAAAAAGACCAGTGGCATTCTATTCACGTTAAAATTTTATACATTATACAGGATTTGAACCTCAATCTTAGCGGTTTGTTTAAAGTATTTTTTTTATTTCATCTTAAAATCTTAATCCTTGCTTTACAAAATACTATTCTTAAAACAATACGAAGTCGTTTTTTAAAGGTTCATAAAATGACTTTCAATGTTCTTGATTTCAATAAATTTAGCTATCCACAAGTAAATCCATATAGTTTTATTATAATGTGTTAAATAGAATTTTGAATGAATTAGAAGCTAGAAAATTTTGAACAACAAAATATCTGATTAAAAACTCGATGCTTGAATTCATTTTCTAAAAAATTCGATCAAGATCCCAAAAAAAAACACAGCTAAAATCCAAATTAAAATTGAAGCTCACAAATCATCTAAAATATATACGAATCTAGCTTTTAATAATTCCCCAGATTTTACTTAATTTCAACTTTATTTTCACATTCATTTATTTTTATTATGAACCTTCCCCTCCTCATACTTAAGCTTACCGTAACGTATTGACATGAAAACAAAATTCTACATGTTGTGATGAGTGTGTGTATCTTTCACTTCATCATGAATAAAATTAATTCAGCTTTATTCCTTTTTTCTCTTTCCTACTTCACCATGATGAGTTTATTTTCCACCATATTGTGTATAAACACGAAGTGAAATAAAATGTTTGTAAAAAGAATCATTTATGTGCCGTTTCTTCTTTAAAATTGTTGTATAGGTATTGTGTTAGGCAAAGAAGTAGAGAAAAAAAATTAATTTATTTTAACAACTTGTGTATTTTATTTAAAAAATTTATTTACTTATTTATTCATTCCATTCTTTTTATTTGAATTTATGAACACAATTTAAAATGCAAAAAAAATATATAAATTGAGAGAGACACAAAATTAAATAACAGGATCTAGTAGGGATTAGAAAAAAAGGTTCCGAAAATTACATTTTCCACCTTTTTTCAATTTTAGTAATCTAGAAAATTTTATAGCATGGACAAAAAAATATATATAAATTTGTATGTAGATATGACTTTAAGGTAGCATGTGCTGCTGTGTATTAGATATGGAAAATTTAAAAAAAAATATTATTTAATTTCATGACTAAGGATATAAATTATGATGGAAGTTATTAATAATGAAAATGCTGAGAATATGCATCCCGAGCGACACGAAAAAGATTTTTTTTTGTATGAATTTTGGGACGGTTTCTTAATGGATGTCCTTGATGATTAAGTTTAATATTTTATTTGAATTTGAAACGTGGAAAAAATTTGAATTCGAACATAATTTCAATATTTTTTTTGAAGAGTTTGGGAAAATTCACTTATTACGGACATTAAAGGCTAGATTTTTAGACTTCTTTAAAGTGGTACGTGATAAGTGAACAAAATTAGACATTTTTAAAAAATTATAAATATTCAAATAAACTTAAAAGTTTTTAAAAATTGTATCAAAAAGTTATAAAATTCTACAAAAATTTACTTAAATGATTTAAAACTTGTTAGTCGAGGATAATCAGAATCTTCTATCTTTCCTCAAATTTTATTTGAAAAAATCTCAAAATTAAATTTCATTTTCTTAAATATTCGATTGTCAATTTTTAAATTTTCAAATTCCAAGTTTCATGTTATTATTTTAAATTCAATTTAATTTCTAGATCTTAAAAAATTGTGTATACTGAAAAATTAATTAAAAATTAACAAATAAAAAAATAATCATTATTTTTGCATTATGTTTATGCTCAAAATTTTTGAATAATAAATATGTTCTGCTGGGAGCATGAAATCAAACATAAAGAGCTAATGTCTATCATTAATCACACAAAAAAGATTTAAAATATTGACCAAAACATGAGTTCGTGATGAAATCTGTGAAATTTTATTTTTCAGCTTTAATGATGGAAGCAGGGGTGTAGCCAAGGGAAGATCTTTGGGGTCTGAAACATTATCGTTTGAAAAATTTTTTCAATCTGCCAGACTTTTTAAAAAAGAGAAACAAATTCCCAAAAATTTCTGCCTCTGAAAATTTTACATTTTCTAAACTGGGTACACTTCTAAACGGAAGATCATTCACTATAGATTCGTTCGTCAGTTACGTCATGCTAAAACAACTTTTTTGAACCTCCCCTTGTCATCAAATTTGTATCCAGAAAAAAAAATTGTTTGAACTGTCACAAATTCTTTTACTCCTGCCCATTCTCTCCTATCAAGCATGACGCAATTTGCGAAAGATCCCGAGGACAAATGAAAAATTTAAGTACACAAACCAACAAAATTGAATTGAAGAATATGTTTAAAGATAAGCAATGAGAAAATATCAATTGATGAATTGTAAAGGGGTTCAAGCTAAATTTGACCCGTCTTTTCTATTTAATTTACTGAAGTTCTTAAATAATAATTAGGGTAAGTAGCTTTCAAGTCAAAAAAAAATCGAATTCGAATTTTTGAGTTTCTTAAAATTAGACAAATTAAAAAATCTTAAACATTACATTAATTTTCATGCGATTTAACAAATTAAAAAAATTAAATTAATAATAAAAATAAACAAGATAAGACACACCAACAAGTATTTCAATCCACAGCACAACCATTAATTTTCAAAGTCTTCACATGAACTAAATATAAAAAATCCTTGTCGAAACTCTTCTGTCATCATCATCATCATCCAGAAACAGTATAACATGACATAAGAGTATTCATTTATGAGCATTTGTAGATAGCTTATATTCGTACATAACACACAATGTTTGTTGCTGTAGCAAAACTTTATGCTTTGCAATGACTCACAATTCTCAAAAATTTTCCATTTCCCTCGCCAAATCTGCAACGAGTTCCATAAACAAATGCGATTGTGCACTCTCATCTGATGATGGTAAAAAGCTTTTAACATGCTGAATCAGAAATGCGATGTCGTCGAGTGTATTCTGTGGATGATAATGAAAAATAAGAGAAATGGAATTGAACTTGGGATGAGGTAGAGAAATGAAATAAAAATTAAAATTTATAAAAAGGTCATTCATCAGCATACAGACAGAACTTCCATTTTCATTTGATGTTTATTTAGCAATTAAAAAGGAATAAAGTTTCACAAACCTTGCTCCATTCATGCTTGTATAATCCAACGCTCAGTTCATTTACATCCTCGACCGTTATAAACTGTTCCTTTACCAATTCTATCAGAAAATTTCCATATGCTTCAAAGTTCTTTCGATCCTTTCCCTGCATTGTCAGAATGAATCTCGAACTGATGACATTACAGAATATAAAGTTGTTGACTTTCAGACGATTATTTTGTGAGTATTTTAATTCTTCTTCCTCATCCTCAACCTTCTTATTCTCATGTCGTAATGATGTTGTAAAATTCAAGAGCTTCTCGTGATGCCACACAATAAAAAGCTTTGTAAGAAAATCTCTTGTAATAAGCTCAGGACGATTCGCAACTGGAAAAATAAAATAAAAATGTAGAATAAAGAAGAAAATGACAAAATAATCAATGAGGAGTCATTAAAATCGTTTTACGTCAAATCGATTTAAAATTGAAATTCAATTAACATTGAAATTGAGTGAGAGGTGAAGGTACAGAATTGAAGGGGATCATAGTCACAGTGATAATGATGGAAATTGGAGATTTGTAGATAAAGTCAATATTCTTCAAGAAAATTAAGAATAAGGTCGACAGAATCTTGATCAACTCAAGTTGATGTCTCTTGAAGAGTTTTAAATGACTTTGTCTCAATTCTTTTGAATTTAAGAAGAATTTAGATAGATTTGAAAGTCTGCAGTCAAGAAAGCATCTATCCCAGATGGCACAAGTCGGTTAATCGATCAGAAATCAGGGTATTCGATTATTTAACAACATTGATGATCTTGCCTCCCTTTTAAATCATCAAAATGACAATTAGTGTGCCTTTAATCATTAACCGTTGAGAAGCACTCCATTAAACGGATAAAAAGTCTACAAACCAATGAAGTTTCTCAAAATAAACTTTATAAAATGCTTATTTTTAACCTACAAAACTCCATCAATGTTAAGTATGAATAACTTTTAACTGCAAAATTCGTATGAAGTCTATTTGCATCATTTTCACCAATGTTGTAAGTCTGCATTACATAAAATGCTCATTGATAAGCTTCTGCCCACTCAGAAGACTAAAAAGACTCAAGTTATGGGAAAGTTAATTTATTTGAATGGTGAACGTTCATAGCATGGATGGAAAGGAGCTTCAAAAGCAAACCAACAAAAAATAAATTCCAAAAAGCTAGCATTCAAGCATGATTACATTATACAACGTTAGCCATTCAGAAAGAGAAAAATTCTATTCAACAGAATTCAGACTTAACTACAGACATACCTCACATAACTACTTACTTAACAGCAGCACTAATTGTAAAATGTAAAAGGCAATATTCCGATATGCATTCGTTGGCAGTGTTTGTTTATCCAATACATTCCCTGTCAAATCAAATAATTTGATAATTTCATTCTCGTCAATTTTTTCGGCATGCAAACTAGCACGATGTAAATGCATTTGCAGTGATTGAAAATATTCAGACGGATGTATTTCAGCAGATAAGTCAATAATCATATTGGATGATGTACGTTTATTCGTTATACTATTCCCTAACTGCTGCTGATGATTTTCCATCAATTTCATTGCATCGACGTGAATGTCTTTCGAGAAAATCTCAATGGATATGTTTGTCGTGCGCCAATGCTCAAGTTTCGCATTTGTCTTTTCGATTGTGATATTTATTAGGGTCTTTTTGACATCATTTAGTGTCTCAATTGGCAGCAAAGCATCGAATGATGACTCGATTCTCGACTTAGAGTTCGATAAGATGTCATCATTCCATTGATTAAGAAGACGCTCGTAATGTTGATAGAAAATTTCTCTCATTCTCTTCTTCATGCCTTCAACATTTGTTACCGTAGACACTTCGATTTCTACACAACTTCTTGCTTCCTTTCGGATGGATAGCACATGACGCACTTGGAAGTCCTTTATTACAGCCGATGTTACTCGATCGATCGTAAAATCAACAATCTTACGGACGGATAGACTCTGTGATGCCAGAAATGCTTCAATTAATCTCTCATGATTTCCTTGTGTCTTCATATTTGTGATGCTTGTCGATGCCTTGTCTTGAATCTTTGTCGTTATGTGACGATATCGACCTGTTCGTGAGACAGCCTTTGTCATACGTTGTGGCATCATTGAGACACGAAAATCGGCAAGAAATGGACATGATGAGTGTATGGCATTCTCTAAATGTGGATTCAATTCAACAGCCTCATTCGATGTAATACATTGAGCTGATGTCACATTAAGATTTATCATCATATTCGAATTGTAATAATCCTCAGGTATGGATGGATGCTCGAAAAGCCATCCGAGACAGGCACGTATAATAAATTTTGATTGTGGCATTACACAAACACCACTATCATGTCCATCAATTGTATTTATTCTCATATATAATGTATATAGGATTTGGAAGACTTCACGATAATAATCAAGTCGAATTGTTATGAAGTCAAGCATGGTGAGATACTCAACGAGCCATGGTATTGTCACTAACAACTTGCGGCCGTCGATTGCGCGGTGTACAATACTTTTTACATCGAAATCTGGACGAATCTGGGGAAAAGGATATAAAATATGAAATTTATTGGTTATTCTGTAGATGTGGTTCAGTTTGTAGAGGATTATTGTGCTGGCTTTCGGTGGGTTTGAGCTTGTATTTTGGACGGTTAATGCTTTAGCTTGCAAATTTTGATGTGTGACCTTCAAATGAAGGCTGAGAGTTTTTATGCTAATAAATAAGATTAGAATGAGTGTCAAGCTGAGTAGACTGAGTCTTTTGAGTCACGAACCAATCCAATGATATTAAGTGCGTGACCCAATTAAACAGCTAAACTCTAATCACTGTGTATCCAGTCCTCTTTACCTCAAATTTGCACAGAAAAAGAACATCCAATTTTTAATTATTACATTAAACTTTCTTTGAGCATTAAAACCACGAAAACCTACTGAGCCACAAAAATCCTTTAAACTTTAATAAAACCACATAACTTTAAATCTAACTTACCAAATTCCTAATGCTCATCTGCTTTTGATCGACCAATGAATTACGATAACCATCATAAGAATATAAACGTGACACCACAAAACCAATGAATTTTCCAATTACACGCATTGTGCTAATGGTTTCGGCTCTCACCTGTTGATGACATTGATATTATGGGAATATACCGAGAAAAAGAATTGAAAAAAAAGCTTGTATTATATGTTATCGTTGAAAATTGGAAATGGATGTAAAAAAATAAACTTTTTAATGTATTTTGTGGTGCGAAAAGTTCTGTTCATGTTATTCCACTCTTTTTTTTGTGATACAGTAGCACAAAATGGGTGTAAATTGAGGATTCTCACAATGTATCCTTTTTGTTCTACATTTAATTTAGAGCTTTTATGAGGAAAATTTTTGTGATTTTTATTGCCAATTTACCCCAACATGTTGATTTTTTTGTGTGTATGTCTCTTCCATTGTTTTATATGCAAAAAGAGCTTTTTTGTGTTCAATGATTTTTTCATCATCCTTGCTTCTTCATTGTTCCTTTCTTTTTTTTGGCTAAAGGGGTTTCCTTTCGAGAAGAGCTTGAAATTTTAATGTTACATAAAGGATTGAAGAGATAAGCTGTCATGTATGTTGAAAAGTTTCAGATGAATTGTTTTGGGGCTCGTTCATTAATGACGTTATTTGAATAATTTAGTTTCTATATCCCAATAGAACATAGCTCCTAGCCTAAGGGGGCATTCTAAATATGAACATTGGCAGTTAAGATCACTCACGAGATTTCAAATTTCAGAATAAAAATTCTGAAAACCCACTTTTCCCTTAAAAATTGAATCTTAATCCAAACCCTTAATCGAGAGTTCGAAACCATCTTGTAAAATTTCTGGGCAAACCCCAAAGAATGTTCTGAAATCTTCAATTTATTTGAGATTCCTAAATTCTTTAAATAAGATTTGACATCACATATCAACCATCCCCTCCTCAGACAGAATTTTTAAGTATGTTTTTGTTTATTCTTTGCTGCTTTGTTTATACAACTTTATGACAAAAATGATAAAAAGTTTAATGAACTAAAGGTTGTTGGATTGTTTAATGGGAACACAATGAAGAATGAATTTGAACTGAAAGCATGTTTTAAGTTTTTCTTGGAACTTGTTGATTGTAAAATGAGAAAATTTTAATTGGTATTTGTTCAGGTTCAAGTGCTTTAAGAGTGCGAAACATTTCATTATTTGTGATCATTTTGATTAGTTTCACACCCTTGAAATAATTTTGTGTAAGCCAAAAAAGCTCCTTCCTTAAGAAATTCAGGTAAGAAATTTTTTTGAATGATATAAAATGTATGAACATAATAAAGTCATCATGCAGCTCATATTTTAATTCGGATTGTATTTTAGAGCTGGAAACCAAGGCTCAGGGATGTTTTTAGGATTTTTTGAATTTTGTTCAGGATTATTCCTGAGTTTTCACACCTAAAAAGCTCCATCTGAGAAAGCTTTTAATCGGTATGCTGTTGATTTATCTTCTAATTCAAAAGTTGGACAGTTAATTTTTGAAAGGTCCTTTACTTCTAACATTGCCATTGTAAAGAATCCAAATGTAGGCTAAACTGTTTTCTACCAGCCACACGCTAGTGTATTTTTCTTGTGTTTGCTAAGGATATCTGCCAAATCTGTATCAAGTCAATCTAAGTTAAAGTTCATTACGAGCTTTCGTCCTTTACGGGTTGTTTTAAATTAATGCATAACCAAGAAAGCAATTTAAAGTCATTTCACCTTCCCGTTCCCTTTCTTCTTAAGATAAATAATTGCATTTTTTTAAAAATAGATTAAATCCTTTCATTCCATTTATATTCAATATTTTCAACCATTACCTAATCCCACGCACTTTCCTTAAATATCCTTCATTCTCAATTTACGATACAAAGACATTCAAACTGTAATTGAACACTAATCTCTCTTTTACTTTGACTTCAATATAATTTCCACACCCCAACAACTCAATCTTGAAATATAAAACCAAATAAGAAAAGATAACACGCAGTTACTGCATTCGAAAAAGTTTTCCTCGCTGTCTATTTTTAAATTCACTGCAAAATTTTAGAGATTCAATCAAACTTTATAATCCCTTTTTAGCGCATTTTCTTGTGGTTTAATTTTTATTTTCAAAGCAAATTCACCATTAAGCACATCTTACCGTTCCGATGACTCATTAAAAATTCCATAAACAAATCATTGGGCTAAAACACTTCCGCTCCTCAACGGAAGCTTTGGAATGACGTAATAGTATTACTTACCGCTCAGGTAAATAATAAACTGTGGGAATTCGTTCAGCATAAAGTTCAACATCCACAAAATTGCTTTCATTGTCATGGATGCTGATTATAAATGAAAAAAAAAACTTTAAGACGTCATAAAACTTTTGCCACGAAACTTTTAGTTCTCGCTGCTTGAAAATAAGCTTGAGAAGACAATGGAAGCTTAAAAAGGGAGCTTAAGACTCTTTGTCTCAAGCAATGCAAAGAAATCCCGGAACTACAAAATAGAGACGATGTAGCAGCAGAAGATTCTTTTTTTTTCAATTTAAAAGGAATAAAAATTTACGTAAATTGAAAAACTTGTTATTTAATAATTCCATCATTTTTTTTGCAGGAATAAAAAGAAAACATTTCAATCATCGTCATTTCCATTATTCGTTCGTTTACTTTTCCACTTTTCTTATTATTATTTTCAGAGGAAGCGAGGAATTGAGAATGGAAATTTTAAAGTGTTGTTGAGATTTGAGCGCATCTGGAAGTACTAGAGTTTATGATTTGAAGGAATAATCTGCCATACGCCATCTAACATGAGCTTTATGTCCTTTAACTCCTTGTTATCTCGATGTTTGGGCATTAATCCAATAGATCTGCTATTGGGAAGATGCTTCTAATGGGAAGGTGTTGAACAGTTAAACTTGACCAATTAAGTATTTTTATAAAACCTAAAAACCACGACACATCACTAAACCATGACCTAAATTGTGGAACTGAATTCAATTGTCAAATAAGCTTATTTGCAGAAAAAGAGCGTTATTAGTTGCCAAAAATCGATACAGCAGTTTGTTAAAAGCTGTTAAAATTAGAACTAGCATGTTCCAAGAAATTAATCTTAATTCAGCATAATCAAGAGTTCAAATCCTAAAATGTCATTTTTCAAATTTTCTCAACCCCTTGTACGTCAGAAGCTTTTATACAATATTTCTTAGCCAAGAAAAAAAAATTCAATTCCTTCCAAAAGTTCTCCCAAGTCTGCTATCCTCTCAATTCAAAAAGAACACAAAGAAGTCATTAAAAGCATAATCGAATATCATAAAAAAAAACGCAATTTTCTTCGAATTGTATCATCATCATCAAAAGCAACTCAATTACCATAGCTACAAATAGCTTCAAGTGTTTTATTATCTATGAAACTAAACTTATAAGCGAGAAGGACTGAGAGAGGAATCAAAGAATCATCTTTAGTGTAGTCGTAAGGAAAAGCTCGGGTAAAAATTTTCATGAAACACTTCATTAAGAAACAGTATAAAGGAATAGAATATAAAAATAACGAGAAATGAATCCTTTGTTCAATATTCATGAGCGAGATAGAGAGCATAAAGAAATAAGCAAGAAAGTGATTCACAAAAAAAAAACTGCTTCAAGTGCTTTTTTTTCAATTCCAATTTTCTCGGAATTTCCTTTGTGTCAGACTCATACCATTTTATGATCAAGGAATAAATTTTGTGGGTGGATTTTATTTTCGGTCGACAGAAAAAAAAAATAAAAGCTGTTAAGCATAGTAAGGAAGAGAAATAATTTCAAGGGTCCATTTATCGTCATCATCATCATCATTACTTGCTCTTGTATAATTGCGTCAATTGCACGAACGAATGAAAGGAAATCAATAAGTAAAATACAGATATATAATAAAAAGGCTGGAGGGATATGAAAGTGGCATGGAAGATTCAATTTGCATTTGTAAGGTACGAGCAAAAAGCTTTTGCCATTGTTATTCATCTTTCAACAACCTCAATTTTCTCTCCACCCCGACCATTTTATACATGTTCTCCATATTGTGTACGTAATATAATCCTCAATGTTATTCATTCCACATTCATGACTGACTACGATGATGTTCATGATGATACAAAAATAAAAGTATGGGGGGAAGGAAATGATAGAAAATTAAAATGATGATAAAATTTATCGATTGCGCATGAAAGAGAAGAATTGTGTGCAAGATTTGTGTATATACATGGATGAGGATGAAGGTAAATTGACATTCAAAACTATAGTAAAAGTATACAATAGGTGCAATTGATGGGGATGTCAATACTTCCACGCCAGATTTGGGGGTTTGGTGCATTCGCTTGAGCATGAAAAGGATACTATAAGATAAAAATAAAATTAACCTGAGACTAGGAAAGAGTGCCCCGGGTAGCCCTATAAACCAACCCCTGAAGGTTTTAGCGACACGGCAGTACGTCGTGGAACAAGAGAAGAAGTAATGTATACATAATATGGCACATCAGCTCTTTCAACTTCTGGTGCTCTCTGATTATTGGTCAAACGAAGGAGATTCTTCCTCCTTGAGATATACACATTGTATAACTTTAATAGCTAAGCCCGAGCAGTATGAGCCACATAAGCTCAGATTGGCAAGACTAAGTTTGCTTATCGTACTAAGCCTAATAAAATGTAGAACACACAAAAAAGCTAAGAGCAGAGACACGTTAGAAACTATAAATTACAATAGTCACAACGCGTTTCAAGCATAAAATAATAAGTCACATTAAAAATGGAATATTCATGATAATTACACTTAAAAAAACATCCTACGTCCACAAACATGGAAGTAGAATAATAATAATAAAAAAATATAGAAACAGAATAGAATGCATAATGTCAACTCACAATGAATTCCTGTTGAAAGTATTTCTCTTTGTTGTCATCGTCATCATCGTTAGATGTACTAGCAGCTGTGTTATTATTAACGTTGCCACGGGTGATGCTAAGTGTCTCTATTGACGAGTCATTCATCTGCAAAAGTTCGCTGATGAGGGCAATTTTCAATTGCTCAATGAACATCATGTGAAAGTCACAACAGATGATGAAATCGCGAAAGAATGCTTGATTACCAGGAAAAAGATATTGCGTGCTAAATAAACTTGGTGCCACTAACCGCTGACGCAATTTCGATAACTTGCTCAGGTCAATGTTCGGTAATGCCATTTGCAATTCGTTCTGCGGAAGAGAATATAAAAAAAGTGTCGAGAAAGAGAAGAGAAATAAAATTAAAATGAATTATCATCATCGTTTGCTTGTGTTCAGTCGGTCGTTGTCAATACATTATAAATGCTTTTTTTTTGGCATATACAGTTCAATGTGTACATCCAAATGTTATCTAAGGTCAGTAATATCGTGAATAGCTCATGCAGAAAAAAATAGAAAAAAAAATTCAATTTACATCAAAATTGCAGGAAATGATGAGTTGTGCCGTGAACAATTTTGCCAAGTGTGCCATATTGATTGGATGCTCCAATAGAGTTAACAGACCACGCACTTTTGCTCCAAGCTCTCGACGAAAATCCCATGATGGATCCAAATGCTTCAGTTCCCACGATCTAAAAAATCATATTTTTTTTATGCGTTGACAATTTTTTTTGTTTTTTCGTTGGAATCGACGCAGGCATCAGGGTTGATTTGATATTGTAGATGGAAATACAAAAGAGAATTTTTTTAAGTATTAAGAATAAATGAATGAATATGACAGTGATGCTTAAATTGCGATTTTTGGAACTGATACAAGCTTTTGTTCCTCAACATCTGCAACTTTGCAGACAATAAATGCAAAAATTCCCAATCCACAAAACATCATGCACGTTCTGAACATTCAAACACATCTGCAAAGTATCATCATGTCACACAAGAACACACAAAACAAAATTTATTCTTGACTCGATAAAAGCTTTTGTACGTAAAAATTATTGATTTGATTCACTTAAAGGTATCAGACATTATCAAATTATGAGCAGAATCATTTCATGAATGATTTCATCCGTAATCTATTTATACATAGTAAGCATGACGAAATTCATATTTGATTGAATTATTTATGATCTAGAGGTAAATGTCCTGTAGGGGATTAGATGTAAATAGCGTATCCATTGATATTTTGAGTGCGGAAAAATTAGATGTTGATTTTTATGGGATTAGTAGCGTGACATAAGATGAAATTTGAGTGATGAAAAATTTTTTTGGAGTTTTTGAAGATTTTTTCGTGTCTAAAATTTTCAGAATGGGTCAGAATAAAACAGAACTTTTTAACTGAAAGTTCAAGGTCATCTGAACCAAACGGTACTAAATTTACTGTCAGAATATTTTGCCATCTTTATTATTCATTATAAAGATTTAAGGATAAACTAGCATTTGAATGATTTCCTTACGGCATCTTGCGCACACAGATTGTGACTAGGAACATTGCAGGGTACATCAGGTATTATGACGTACTCGTGTCTTTGCAACGTGCAAAGCTTGCAAAGTGGTTTGGATCCCACTTTAAACTGTAGGTCCAAAGGGTGTGGTACAATAGATTCTTGAAAAATTGAATTGCAGTGCATCCAGTTGAAAGGCTGGGCCCTTCACACATTATTATTATTATTATTATGACTATATTGACTCTATACTTTAATATCACATAAGTACCAAATATTACTCTTTAATTTCAACTTTATATATTTAAGTACAATTTTTTTAAAAGTGCCACAAAACTCACTCAACATCCTGTCACACTACGTAGCACAAAAATCCATAATAAAACAATTTTCACGATAATAAAAATTGCAGAAAGCTCTGTAAACCAATTTCCTTGAGAAATAATTGCAAATGAAAACTTTCTCACCATGAAAGATTAAAGCAAACAATCCCTAGCGAGACTAACTAGCAAATTGCTAGTCTTTCTATTTTACTACTTGCAATTTACTAGTTATTATTAAAACAACTTACTATTAGTAAATTACACTTACTATTTAATAGCAAATTACTAGCAAATTTCCATGAGAAATGTTTGATCAAATCTTCTTAAGTTCGAATCCTACGAAATCTCATCAAAAAAAGAAATTTTTGCATCATAAAAAATTTTGTTCTAAATTTGGCATTTGCCATATACTTCACAAGAGCGCACAGAAATCACCTTTATAAGCTCGATCCAAATTTGTATGAGACATTCAATTTAATTATTTATCTTCCTCAGGTTTGCGTGCGAGTCATAAGCGTTCATCAGTGTTTGACTTAATTAAATTAAGTCTTTTATTTTTTTTCGTAGTATTAGTGTACTTTAATTAATTAAACTAAGTACACACTAATACTTTTACAATAATTTACACAAATAAAAAAATCAAAAAAACACGTGGAAATCAACGGTTATATTCATTTAAATTTTTTACAAATTTGCTAGTAAATTACTAGTTAAATTGTAAGCGAATTGACTAGTCAATTAGCAAGTGAAAATGCGGGTCTTTGGCGATGATTTGAACTTGGATTTTGACTAGTAAATAGCAAGTAGCAAATGGAAAGTTACCCAGTAAATTACTAGGAAATTACTAGTAAATTTCTGCTAGGGAATGTTACACTACATTACAATCTCTTTTTCCTATCCAAGCAGCAGCATACAAAACCGCTCTGATAATTGCAAACAATTAAAGCTTGAAAAGTTTCCATACTAGGATCTTGATGAAAGTTAAAATTTTCCCATTATTTTAAAATCAACCCCATAAGCGGTTGCTAACATCACTCAATTATATGATGAAAAAAAAAATTCATTTTTTTTATATTTTTCACATCAACATTGCACAATTGTGGCTTTTCATTAACCGAAATATTCATGATATATGTTAACAAATTTTTTGCTTCATTCGCTCATGTTTGTGCATAAACAAAACAGGAATGAACAAAATAAAAACTTGCACATGAATTGTATTGAAAAGGAACAAATTTTTTAATTAATTTTAACTCTGTTGCATTTCGATAGATATGCGCATATCCTGTATATGTATATATATTTTTTTGAGCAAATAACATCCGAGAACAATGGAGGAAAAAATATATATTCATATTATGGTAAAGAATCTATGAACATGAACAAGCTTTTTGTATTAATTTTTATTGTATGGAAAAAAAGCTCGATATTTACTTTATTCGTGGCGCATTTTTTTTAACGGATGCATTGGAAGTGATTATATTTGTTTTAAAGAATGCTTTAATTTAACTTACAACTGCGGATGTTTGAGTATTTATAAAAATCTTGTGCCAGCTACATTTACAACATTCTTAAATGCAATCTAGACTTAATATATGATCAAATCAGTCATCAAATATTTACAAAATGTGGTCGATTGCTTGTTAAGAAACGCTCGGAATAAAATATTATAGAACCTTTACTATAGAGCAGGAGATTCAAGGGAGGATTAACCTTTCTATTCCTTTTACATTGCTCCTGTCTAAAATGTATCACTAACCCCCTTCGTCTTCACTTCCTTCATAAAAACGCAACCATAACAACCCAAAAACCTTCCAACTTGAAGAGTTTTTCATATTCTCAAAAATTGCAACCCAAGAATTCTTATTTTTTCATAAAGCTCCAATAACCATGAACTTGATTGAATCTCTTTTTAGATGGAAAGCTCTCAGATTTTTTATATTACTCATTTTAGATTCATCTTATAAAAGGACTTTTAAAGTGTCTTTTTGAGTTGTATTACATGACCTCTTTTTATGAGGAATTTCATGGTTCAAGTTGTTTGTTTGAGAATGTCTACTTATGAGAGTACAAATATGTAACAACTGATTTTATTGGGGTTATGGTGAAATTATGTCCATCAAAAAATGAGATTCTTGAAATCTTCAACTTTATTTCCTTGCAAATAAGATTCAGATATGACACATTGTCTTACTTGATTGTAATCCTGATCATATATTAAGCTCTTGAATTAAAATTGAAATGATTGAAAATAATCCACATTAAATATCGCTTATAATAGAAAAGGAAGACACAGCTTACGATATGAAAATGACGGATTGCTCGAGTGAATTTCATAAAAATTTAGCAAGCAGGTAATACATCTAGATTAAGTTGTGGAAACTCGATTGATTAAACTTCGTAGCAACTCGTAGCAAAACTTTTCGAGAATTTTTTTGAGGAGCTGTCTTTAAAATTTTATTCAAGATTTGGAAGATTTTTAAAAGACTACAAATAAGATTTTCTGTTAAATTTGGATATTGATTTTTACGGAAGGTGGTCTATGTCAGTGGTTCTCAAACTGTGCATCGCAAAAATATTTCATTGCTAAAATTGACCTTTTATTTTCATGTTTTGTGACTCCAAAAAGGTCATGAAAATCATTTAGTGTACTGCACGACTATTCAGGTGTGCCGCAAAAAAATTTATGTGAAAAAAGTGCCGTACTCCAAAAAAGTTTGGGAAATACTGGCCAAGATAGTGGAATCAATCTGTCAAAATCCACCCCAAGCTATAAAGTCAAGCATTTCGATTAATCGAACGACAAATTAAACACAACATTGAACTTAATTTCTTGTGAGATCCATGACAAGTCAACTGTTAAGTATACTCATTGATACTCATTGTCTATCAATGTATGATTCGATTCAATTTTTTGCAAGCACTCAAATCCCATTCAAATCACTAACTTTACAACTTATCATCCCTTCACACATATCATCATTTGTTCAAGTATAAGAAAAACTTTTTTGTTCTCAAGTCCTTGAATCTTTCTCACTCATTCACTCACACTTACTCATCTATAATATCATGAATGCATAAATGAAATTGAAATAAAAGTTCTTGAGCATCTGCTCAGATTTTTTTGTCAGAGAGATAAAAGGATTTTCTATTGGATTTAGGGGGATATGCTGAATAAAGAAGGATATTTCATGCAAAATATTCATTTATACCAGTTTTGTTTAAACTATGTGCAGCGGCACACTAACGTGTCATAGAATTTTTTTTGGAAATGTCAAAAACTGCATGCTGAGTGCGACTTCAGTCAAAACTTATTCTAAAGGTGTGTCATTGTTCAAAAAGTTTGAACAATACTGGTTTATGCTGTAAGAAAAACATCCGCATTTAGTGAATCCAACAATGCAGCATTTGTTTTCTCAAAAAATATATTTTAGCCTTTTTCTCATCCCCCTAAGTGAGCTTTCAGCTATACCATTTTATGCGATGTGACAGAGTTTTTATTCAATGCTTAAACTTTTACCATTCAAAAAGTCTGCATTGCAATAAATGTAAAGCATACAAAAGCATTAATCCTTCCTAATTTTTTTCATTTACACTTTTGAAAAATTCACAGTCACACATAAAAGCTCTCTTTTTAAAGCCATATAACTATGAATGTACGAATGTATGAATGTTTTATGTGACACTTGTTGAAAATCCAAAAAAAATAACACGATGTAGATTTTCTGCTAATTAACAATAAATGAAAAGGTTTGTTGGCTGCTGAAGCTTTTCAATACGTTCACCACATGCTACCTTTTCCTGTTGCATGTAATTTTTATTTTCAATCATTTATCACGAGAAAAGTGTCACATTGTGAGTTAAAAGAGGTATTAGTGAGCATGTTTGAAGTATGATTGAGGTGTTGGATGAAGTAAAGCTTGATGTCTAGTCAGTAAAATTTAGAAATATCGGTCAGAGGCTGCATCTTGAATATACTGACCCAAATAAATGGACGGATGGATTACTCAAGAACAAGGACATGAATTCCAAACTTGAAATATCTAGAGGACGTCTAATTAGAGTTGTGGTCTGTAACTTGCCTTTCGCCTGTCACAAGCAATTACCTGTGACAGATCTGTCAAACCTGTTGAAAGGTATGACATGGTGTCAGGTGCCTATTGACAGGAAGCGTTTATGACAGATCTGTCAACTGTGCCTGCTGAAAGATGACCTGTCTCGCAACTTTACGTTTAAATAAATGCGCTTTAATCCCCTTCACACTCTATCAATCCCAACTTGTTTCTATGTGAGTAATTTTCATTTCAATTTAGCTGTTAATCAAGCATAAAAAAAGCAAAAAAACATTTTCTATTATTATTATGAGTGATGACGAATGGAAAGTAAATGCTTTGTCATTCTAATAGCTACATGACATGGATATGTGTACAGAGAGGGAAATGCACTCACATTGCTCACATAGATATGAATTCATAAATGTATTTCCGCTATTTATATTTGTATGAGCACCTGTTTGCTGATTATATGGTTGAAATAATTTTTAATTTAGAGTCTCTTTAAGCTCAGCAATTTACGAGATCTAAAGGGAAATTAAGCTTGAACTATTTTCTCCATTTATAGTTCACTTTGAAGTTCAAGTGCGTTTGTGTTTAACAGTGAATAATAATGCATAAAAGCTTCTTGTTTAAATTACATTGCCATTACTTCCACTTAGCATTACATGCAGTTAATGAAAAATGAATTTTTCAAGGGTTTCAGCATGGAAAAACCTCTGCAGCTTACAAGTTCTTTGAAATTGAATTTTTGATTAATGAGAAATTTTTTTTCAGGTTTTGTTCTATTTTTAATCTGAAGTTTTAAGGGTAACGAGACTTTAATTAATGATACATAAGCATTTTTTACAGCACAGCCAAACTTGATGCAACAAATTTTTCTCTCACCTACTTTCAGACTCTCATTTTTAATTGCAGACTAAGTAAATGTTTGCAAATAAAATTTATTTTTTTTTTTCAGCGAGTCAACGAGTGTCATAACAAGATTTATATTTTGTTCATAAGCGAGCAATAAATTGTAATCCCGGGGTCGTTTGCTCAAGCGGAGAATTATATTTTTGTGTACTTTTCTGACAGATGCAATTGTGAATATTTTGTAGACAACTTTTTTTGGGGGGGGGGGGGGGGGGGGGTTGATGGATTTTCTGAATATTTTCGGTGAATTAAATGAAGTTATAATTTTTTGGAAGGACTTTGTGACATTTTGTTGGTTAAATTGTGAAATTTGTTTGGTTTTGATCTGTTCTTAGCATTGGAATTCAGTAGGATACTGTATCTTGAATTTGTGTTGACACAAAGGATCAACCAAAGTCGCAAGATAATTACTGACAAAGAAATGACATCAGTAACTCAGAAGTGAGCCGAGAACACCTCGTTCAACACATATTAGATGATATCCGCGCTACAATGAAGCAGATAGCGTTGTTAAAAACTAATGGCTTGTGTAACAAAAGGCAGACAAATGTCGATTAAGCGACACCCTTATATCTATATATGAAACGATGTAGCAATGACTTAGTGACTAAGATGAACCAAGCTCGGTAAAACAATTCATCTTCCCAAAAGCACTATGATTCCCTATTTAGACTGGAATCTGTTGTATTGAGCAATTTGTAGATAATTATGCCATTGCAAGAGTAAGGACTCTGATGGCATCAATACAACAGATTCATCTTTATTTAAATTCCATAAGCACTTGTCTGACAACTCTGTCACTTACAGGATCTTTAAGAAGCAAAAGCTCACTTACATTCACACTCAGAAATATTTCCATAAATAAATGTACAACATCCGAATCTTAACTACAATTCACATGCATGATAAAACTCAAGCAACAGCAAGCAACACCCCTTAACTCAATATTCAATATTCCATGACATCAGCATCAAATCATCTTAATTCTCTAAACGAAGAAAAAAGCTCAACCCAATCCATCAACCCGATAAAACTAGAATAATTACCTTAATATAGCATAAAACATATCACGTTGTTTCTTGAAGGCACCAAATTCTCGATCAGATGGAAAATTATCACGATTATCAGTCTCTTGTTGATAGAAGACAACTTTATTAATATTATTTGTATCGCTCTTTACCCTTTGCGATGCAATAGCTGAATCGATTTGCATTTTTTTCTGCATAATATTCCGCAAATATTCATATAAGGATGGAGTGATTGTCTGTATCCTGTCATAGTCACAAATAACACGTATTGTGGTACAGTCGAGCATTGCAAGTATTTGTTTTTGATGATTCAATATGCACATGGTAAAGAATATGCAATTATGGAAATTTTTAAGTATATTCGATGCAATATCTATGGACGATTTCATTTGCGTGTAATTCTGCATTTGATGCTCGTATGGATTAAATTCTGTGTTGAGTAAATTGACAATATATGAGAATTCACTTAAAATATTTGGCACATGATTTGCATCGATGAGAAATGAATAAATCCTTGCCATTGCTGTCAATAAATCTTGTCGTTCGACCTTTCCTTCATCATACTTCAGGATGGATTTATGAGGTGTCGATACTAAACTTCCTGTAAATGGATTGTGTCCAACTGGTGATGATGACAATGATATGGGCGATGCTGGAAGATTCTCTCTAATCAATGTATGCAAATTTCTAATTGGCTTATGTTCAGCATCGAAATCCTTTGATATAGTCTCACGATGCTCTCGGAGCATTTCACGCTCGGGTATTGTTGGTATTGACTCATCAGCCTCTAATGTTGTGACACCAAGTAAATTGTTGTCACTTTGAAATGATGATGAGACAAAAATTGGCGAATCTGTGCTTACTTTACGGCTGACAGTGATTGGCATTACGCGTTTTTTAGGTTTCCCAATCTCATTGCTACTCTTTGCTTGTTGCATTTTTGACTCATTGCTATTGTTGACATTTTGTTTTAATGTCGGAAAATCTGACGAGTTAAATTTTGGTGTCATTGCGGAATCAGATGTCGTTCCACTATGATTCTTCTTCTTACCACCTCGTCCTGATGTGTTTGATGGATTTGATGTATTTAGAAAGTCACCGAGACAAAATGGTGAGCTCGTATTACGGCGATTTGTTGAATTGTTCTTGTAACCGCTGTTGGCATCAAAACTTCTTCGAGAGGAATTTCCAGCACCACGATTAACCATTGAACTTTGATCAAACGAAAGAGAACTTTTTGAATTGAAAAAGCTATTTGGTGTGCTCGTATTTGTTGGATATTCACTACCGTCCATAGATTTATTAACCTTTAATATTTGATTCGAACATGTTGCGTTATTGTTACCTGGTGTGCTCGTAAATTGTGTAATTGGATATTCAGAAGCAATTTGTGGACTCTGAAGTTCACTAAACGATGTTGATGACGAGTCAAAAAAGGTTTTTCTAAATTGCCTATTGCCACTTCCACCACCACCACCACTAGAGTAATTTCGTCCTTTATTCTCATTGTGAAAATTACTCGAACGATTATTATCGTTATCATTCTTGTCGCTGCCTTGATTGCCATCCTGATTGAAAAGCTCGCGTGATATTTGACGTTTTATAAATCGCATTTCACCTTTCCCACTTTTATTGCCATTGTTACCATCGTTAATGCTCGTACTGCCACCCACATTTGCTGCAATAATTTTTTTCTTATTGTCATGTAACAATGGCTCCGTAGCATCAGTCTCTGTTATATTTTGATGAATTTTATGTGGTGTATTGCATGTTGATGTATTGCTCTTGATGAATCTGTGGAAGATATAATGGATGAGAAAAAGTACATAAAATGATCATTGGGCTTTAAAAAAGAAGTTTATGGCAAATTATTGTTCTTCTGCAATTCAAGGGCATTCAAGGGGGAAACAACATGATGGAAAACATGTTTTTGATACTGAATATTATTTGGAAATGCTAGAAGTTGGTGGAAAGTTCACATCGATATTAATAAATCGTGAGAAATTTCCCACCATGTTGTTATCCCCTTGAGTACACCCAATTTTTTCTGCTGCGGCATAAAACAAGTTAGAAAGTCTCACTTTCATTATTTAATTTTATTTGATGATTAATGAGCATTCGTGATTGTTGAATTTATTTGTTGAAATGTCAAAAGAATTAATTTTATGGCATGCTTAACGATGAGACATTTAAATCAAGTTTTAAAGGCTGAGTGTCTGGGACACAAGCATTGCCGTGCTAATTTCAAATGTTTTACAAATGAGTTCTACAAACGCAATGCTCACAACAAGTAATAAGACACTCAATCTATGAAATAAAAGTTCTATCCTATAATCAATTGTAAATTCACCCTCCAGCCCACCTATCTAGTCAAAATCACCAACATATCTCAATAGCAGTGCTGCTATAAATTACAATAATCTTCGACATAAAACCAATCGTCGGAATGTACATCACATAATATTTCCATGATGATGAAATATATCACAAGAAGAAGGAAAGAAGAGAAGCCCAATTACCCGCGTTTGCAAGGTCTCAAATTACCCGTCTCTTTTTCATCAAATAATAATTTTTTTTTCCTTATAATATTTTATATTTGCCTGTTTCAGCAGAGTTGGTGGTCTTTAACTTTGTTCTGGATAATTCTAGACATTGCTAAAGAAAATAGCAAGTAGGATTGAGTATTCGCAGCTTTTCAAAGAAAAGTCACAACTCTGATCAAGAAACAAAATATCTAAAGATGTTCTCTAGCTCTTTTTAGACACCATTCCCTATTAACTTTAAAATTATGTTTATACTTTAACTAGAGTAGCTATCCTTGGTGATCTTATAATCAGCCGCTAGCCAAGATAATTCACATTAAGTTCTTAGACAAAAAACAGCTCAGATCCCCAAAATGACAACCCTGTACAATTTGATTCGTGGTGCTACCCAAAGAATAAATGTCTATTAGCGATACGTGTTATATTAAAAATATTCATACGATGAAAAAAAAGACATAAAAGAGAGAAAAAAAAAAATTCACCCAGACAGACCGGCCAGCTGAGGGAAGTCTCCATGGTTGCATTACGTCGCAATAACAATTTTTTGCTGTTGTTTCGCGTCATTATGTAGCAGTTGAGCAAAAAAAAAATGAGTTTAAAGAATAAGAAGGAAAACACAAAAAAATAGCGCAATCGAATTCAATTTCATAATTTGTGCTCATTTGAAAATTAATAACAGAAACTCAACAACAAAAAGAAAGAAAGTGTAAATGAAAAAAAAAACTTGAAACGCCTGCTCATATTATCTATCTAAGTTTATGGGCTGGTGACTTAGTCACTTAAAGCTATAAATACGTTTTGTGTATGACAATTTGACATTTATTATTTGACGCATAGCTTTAACAATGAAGAAGGAAAAAGGTTTATTTCCTATGAATTTTAGACATCAGAAAATGATGTTGCAATTTTTTTCAAATAAGGATATCCCTGCTGTGATTTCAACAGAGTTGGAATATGCCCAGTAGCACTATCGTCAATCATTGGAATTATGAATCAATGTATATGAAAAATTGCTAGTCATTGACAGTGAAAGTCGTCGATATTATCAATGTTAAACAACTTTGTTTTTTTTCAGCTACCAGCAGCTTTAGTGATAGGAACTACATGAATGTTTAGATTATCAATGAGTTGTAAGGTTAGCTTATAGACTGCGGTTATAAGTTAATGACTGTTTTCTTTGGCCTTTTCCATTGAAAATTTATTTTGGAGCCATTTTTGATAAGGATGGAAGAAATTAAGTGTTGAGAGGTATGCGATTAAATGTTAGATACACCTTAACCTACCCTTACCATTAATGCAAACTAGAGTAAATCTAAGGAAAGCGTTGATGTAGTTGTGTTGCAAAAACCTGCCCCTAAACACTAGCATATGTTTGGTCTGCATAAAAGCTAAGCCAAATGGTTAAAGCTCTTCATTAAATCATCAAGATACTTCAAGTTTGGAGGAGACGGTTCGAATCCTATCAGAATCAATGTAGCTTCCTCTAAAATTCCTTTGAAGTCATCAGTAGATAAATTTAATTGTGGAGAGATGCTCACATTTTAACATATACAAAAATCAACCTCATCTTGCTACTCTGAACAAGGATGAATCTAAATAAGTTTGATAATGTTGTATAATTCATAGATATCATTTTATGATAGGGACAAAATAACTTCTTAGTAAAACAAAATACCAAAAAGTTCATTAAATTTTTATGAAATATTAGACATGTGTACAAAAAGAAGAATTTGGGTAAGACAGCACACAATAATGAATTATTAGGAATTTAATGAAAAATTAAAGAAACCCAAAAAAAATCATATCCGATGGACAAAAAAATGTAATTTTGTTGAATATCATTGTTCAACTTTTACGGTTTGCGTGTATATCGTAAGACATGATCCAAAAATGTACATGATAAATTGAAATAAACATGTTTAAAAAACATTTGTCCTACCTCAACAATTGATCTTGGTCTGATCTAAGTTAATTGAAATTTGCAAGACAATTTGTTTCTTAGAAAAAAAATTGCAATGCAAATTAGAAGGTTGGCATGCTTTCCATATATTAAGCCATTATTTTAAGCAGCCAGTAAAGTTACAAAACTTAATGTTCATGCATTAAATTGCAATGCAGAAAAAAAAACATTAAAATAAAATATTCTTTCAAAACCATTCGATTTTGCGTGATTTCCTCACAAGGAACTTGCAAGTGTCCCTCAAAAATGCACTTTCAATGAGAGTTGTGGGGTGTTGTGCATGTGTGATGTCTAGGAAGAATGCTAGAAGAGGTGTTGATCCTTTGTTTGGATCTTAGCTGTAAGATACTCAATAATATCGAAAATTATGTAATTATGGGCCGGTTTTTGAAGTTACTCAAGGCATTTTCCTCTTGAATTGAAGATTTATAAACAATATTATACGAGATTTAATTGTGACTAGGGGAGTGAACCCCGTGTAATCCAAAAATTTTATCACAACCTTGGGTTCCCAAAACAGTTTATTCAAATTTTTGTCGTAGCATTGAGCTGCATAGAAGTAGATGTGTCAAAAAAATCAATTTTCAATCGACATCACTCACAAATGAACCCTTTCTCGCTGCCTTTTTTACAGTTACACGATGACAACAACTTTTTCTCCATACGTCAATGTGCTAATGAGATATAAATAGAAAGTCACTTAAAAGTAAGGTAGGAACTAAAAAAATGACTGTAAACTTTATTATTGTTTGCAACTTTATTGCGTCAATTTAACATTTTTGCGATATTTTAAGCATTTTTATTCTGAAACGCTACACCAGCCATATGCAAGGCAGTCTCGCAGACATTCAAATGTGCCATTCAATATTGTATTATTAATTTTTGGACTGCACAGGCAGAAAGATTAAATCGACCATTAAATTAGCCTATGAATAAATGTATATATGCAGATAAAATAGACAAAAAATAATCTTTTTTGCCATTGCATGTTTGCACTCGTTTTATACAAACAATTTCAATAAATATTGGCTTGTTGTTGCATGAAAGCTTTAGCTAATATGTGTAATGTAACCTTACGACTATTATCTGCTCGTACTCGTGCTATTAGATGAAGTAATTCCGATTTTTTTTGTAATAAACTTTTCCGTATAAAAATCAACATTTTTAAAAGAAAAAAAAATTTATGTTTTTTTTTTCATTCATTCAATATTCGATAAATTTATTCTCTCTGGATATTTGAATAAAATCCACTCACACACATCTATAGTTTATGTTCATTTAATAATATTTTAGCAATGCTATTTTTATAACTACATGTTTGTTATGTATGCAAAAATGAGATGAAGAATTTTCGTAATGATTTTTTGTAGCTTGTTTTAAGGAAGAAATTAGGGAAAATTTGAGAACATCTAATTTGTCCGCAAAGAAGCAGTGAGCGTAAGGATCAGCATGAAGGCATCTGACACCATCAGTCATACTCGGAAACATAATAGCAACACATAGTGTGGTTTATTTTTAGATTTTTTTAAACATTTAGTGAAATGGAATGAAAGCATATTAGGAGGCACTAGCAATCAAAATATTTGGACACGACACTTTGCACCTTGTTCAGTCTAAATAGAGTCTAGTCTAATTTGGATAATTCCTCTTTTAAAGGCAAGCAACAAAGTTTCTGTTTCTTAAAAAAAAAATTGTGGCTTAGTTCAATGCTTCAATAACCTTTAGACTCATATAATTGAAAACCAAGAATTCTTTGAAGTTGTCCCGCTTTTCTTTAAAGTTTTATGATTAGGACAAATTCAAATAAGGTTTTTTTTAAATAGAAGGAGAATTAAGCTGCTTTAGATCATGTCAACTTTATGATTTTATCTTGTTAAGTCTTGAATATTACGGATAAGAAATTAAAGGCTTGAATATTACGGCAAGTTAGTTTGTCAACACTTAATTTCGAAGTTTGTTCATAAACTTGAGGATTGTTACTCTAAATATATTATCACAAGGGTCTTTGATTTAAGAATAAATGTGTTGAGCTCTCAAAAACTTCTATTCAAATAAAATGAAATTCTTAATAGCTTTTCATGGCAGGAGTTGAACTTGAGCTTCTACGATTACCAGTTGCATGCTCATAAGCAACGACTACCGCTTAGTTATTGAAAGTAAGATCATAGCTTTGCAGAATGTCAATTTAAACAATTAACCTACTCTACTCAGTAGCTTCGTCTTTATTATTGATGATGGTTTACTTAAAAGCACATACGATAGTATGTTGCATAGCACTAAATTTCAATAATTCCAATAAACTGTCAAAACTGCCTCCAATTTACACACTCAAATTTCATCCAATTCAATCTCATTAAACCATTACAAAAAACAACAGCAAAAACTGCGCCAAAAATTCCACATTCATGCAATAAAATCCGCCACTTATTTTTAACAGTTTCACAACTTAATCGAAAGACAAGAGAAAAAAAAAATTGAGTCACAATAGCCGCAAGTGAGAAACAATTTCATTGTCGCGACATGTTAATGAATATTCAAAATGATTTAATTCAATATTTGCCCTAAAAAAGATTCAAAAAATTATTACATGCACGGACATAAGTGAAAAATTGAGGAAGTAACGCGAGAGAGTCATAATTTTTGTCATCCATAATTGCAGGAAGTTGAGGATTAAACGTACAGAAAAATAATAATCGATCGATAAATATCGATAATAAAAAATAAAGCACAAAAATCATTCTACATGCACGAGTACCGTGTAGACCTTCAAAGGCCAGTCATAAGCGACTCGTCAAAAAAAACTCTAAGTGCTGTTGCCTTTTGTTTTTGTTCCAATGCCAGGAAGTCGGAGATTTTTTTTATATATTTTAATTTTTCATGTATGTAACGTGTTGCATGACAAGAGGTACGCCACGAAAAAAAAAAACTTTTATTTTCCAACCATGAGGCACATGTCCATGCCATAAAGACCTACTTTCTTACTCAACTGAGACTTAAATAACTCAAATTCCACATGTAACTTATACGAGAGATGGAGCATGAAAAAACAAATTAAAGGAATGGCTTTTCAATCATGTAAGTCATAATTAGTTACTCAACAACCAAAAATGCCTATTAATTAAGTTAAAAACACACAAAAAAGACCCAGTGAATAATTGACTCTAATTAGTATGAACTGTAACTACTGCACTAACATTTCGCACATATATTCATTGACTGTAGTTGAAATATTACGCGTTGAAATGCGTAAAACAAACGAGCTGATTCGTAATTGGCAAGTTCCAAAAAAATTAAAATTGAGAAGCACAGACAGAAATATGAAAAAGAAGTAACGAAATTGGTATGGCAGATAGGTTTTAAGACGCAAACTCGAGACAATGTGCCTTGACTCAATCCTTAGCCATAGAGCTATCAATCTTAAAAAGAATCAATAGCGTGATAGCCTCATGCATCAACAATCTGTGGAGCTATATGCAAGGATAAATAATCTTATTGGCAATGCAACATTCGTGCAATATCAGTAATTTGACACCTCATTATCGTTTAAGATAGTTTTAAAATTCCAGATTGATTTGTGATATTTTAAAGACATAACTTCAACATGTTGGCAAACCTCAGCATTACATTATTTAAAATTTCCTATTTTAACACCATCTTAATTCACAAATTCAATTTCAGCATCGCATGAATCAAATTATCCTTCGGCAAAAATTCCAAGTCTACAAAAATCACAACACACCCAGTCGTGCAGACACAACATAACCTCAATAAATTTCATTTACACATTAATTTCGCTCAAAAAAGGTTCCACGATGTAACAGGAAATAATTATTTACGAGTGAATGGTATAATTAAAAAACCACTATTTAAATTGAATTTTCATTAATAATAATTCAATTAGCATCCAAACATTTGAATGAACTAATATCCTTAGGCCTTTATAATTGAAATAAATGTTGAACGAGAATGGCTGAATTTTATCAATTATCAATATTTATAGAATCATGTTCCCAATTGAACAAGAGGAGTGCAACAGCAACAGCAGCAACAAAAAATTATAATTTTATATGTGAAGCTTTTTGTAATTATCTCAATTTATGAGATATTAAGTACGAACTTAATTATGCAATAGGTTTTTCGCCCAAATCGGAATTAACAACAAAATTTATTTTCGTCAAATTGAAAATTTTTGCAAAATACGCAATTAATTTTTGTGCTAGTCTAATTAATGACTTATTTGACGAATTGTGATGTAGCTGCACGGGATGTATGAAATGTTTTGTATTGTTTGACTGTGCAAGCCTAAAATTAGACCTTCGTAATGCTGAAATTTAATAAGCTGCACAAAATTGTCAATTATGATCGTATCTGTTAATGAGAACTGCCGTTGGAGGATTTCTGTGAGATTTTGTTATGAGTTATTGTATTTTTGGTATGTAGGGAAGAATTAAGGGTTTGATTTGCTAGAATTTAAATACTTTTAGATCCACAAAATAGTCTGTAACAAAGTTTTAAGAGTAGAACTAGGTTCATAGCTCTAAACATGAAAAAACAATCTCTAGTGACAATCTTATAAGAAACACAAGTTTTGAACTTGGATCTAGAGTTGCAATCTGTCACATATGTCTATAGAAGGCACCTGTCAGCGCTTTCAAACGCTGTACTCGTGTATTGTGTGCCAGGACCTTGAATATACAGTTAAAAATAAATTTATCGTTGGCTTAATAACCTGGACAGTTGATCAACTGTAACCAGTAGCCTAGCAAGATAGGACAACTCTTTCCACATAGCAACTAAGCATAAATTGAGCACATTGACAATAATTTTCATGCAGTCTCAATAAAAGTCAACAACAGATCCTTCCAAAAAAAAAAAATATCCACAAGGAACCGATCAAAATTCATTCATTCATTAATTTATAAATTCTTGTGAAACTTCATTACAAAGTTAATTTAGGAGGTGGCTCTCGATAATCATCCGTCTATTTATACATGCATGCACGACGACAATCACTTTTTTCTTGTCTTCTTCTTATTCATATTCAGTTCCTCTGCAGTGCATGGCGCACGAAAAAAAAAGTCAGCAGAGAGCTCTTATTTATTTGTTACAAGGTCATATTAATTGCAATTATTGCACTCTTAACGCGCGACATCGTCGTCCAGTTTATATTTTTTATTTCTGCAATCCGTTGATTGTCGATTCGTCTTATGGAATTCGTAAGCGCATATTAAAGTGAATTGCATCACAATTCGAGAGTTTATTATTATAACATTGTTTACAGTTTACGCTACACTAACATTCCATGTGACTTTTATTTAAGGCTTTATTTTTAAACGTAATGTAATACGAGCGTCAACGACAATAAAAGATTGTCATAAAAATAATCAATTTAAATTTTTTTCTCTCTCCACGGCTGTACCTTTACTGTGAGAACACAGCCTCAATACTCGTAGACTTTTCATATTGAATTAAAGTCTCACTTTTCCTAAAATGTAAAATGCCTCACAATTTAATTCTATCGTAGCAATATGTCTATCGAATTTTACAATCTGACCGGTTGCCAATAGCAACCAGACGATGCTTCCTGTAACACCCGCGCGCACGAGCGATTACGATTTTATAAAATTCATTTACAATCAATGTTATAGGAGCAATGTTCAACTTGTTTTTAGGATTATTAGGCACTTAAGTAAGCAATCGAGACGTTTTGAAATATGACGACGCTTAACTGCTATACCTGCTTTACCTGTCTGAGAAATAATATTCTAAGTATCCGCTGGCTGTTGCTTCTTATTTTAGCGCGATTTTATTTTTTTATTTTATATTATTTTTTACTAAATGTGAAATGAATAAATTTAATATACACGGTTGACTGTTTTGGGCAGATGGATGAATTAGCCTAGACATTTCGGGTTCAAGATAAGATATAGATATCGTGGCTTTGAAATTTATTTTTTACACAATCGTCTGGACATGGCTATGACACGTTTTGTTTGGATATTTGTATACAATTAATTTAATTCTTTTCAGAATTTATCATGATCTCATTCGGTGGGACAGCAATGAATTAAGAATAATTTTTTTTTGTTGCGGATATGGGATGGGTTATGGAAGGAAGATTAGGTTTAACAATGCATATGGCTTTGGATGACTTGCATGAAGGTTGAGAGTGGAAGTTTTTTTGTGCAAGTTATGTAAATTTTATTGTAGAAAGTAATTTTTTGCATGCTGGCTAGACAGGTTAATATTAAGCTATTGATAGACCTTGCCGAATACAGGCTACCATTAGTTGACATTGATCTTCAAAAACTAAATCCGTGATTTTCGTCGTCTGCCAAGATTCTCCCGTAAAAAGATGCTTCATTTTTTAGAATAATAATTTGAATTTTTCTTGGGACTCGAACTTGAAAGTCAACTTAAATTTACTGACCTAGCTTTCTACTCCACTTTGTCACCTTAGTCTACATTATACTGATTAGCATTCAATAAATGTCTTTGAACTACAATCAAAAATTATTACCAAATACCTTATGCTTAATCTAATATTCACATATCTTTGATTATTCAAAAAAATTCAAAATCTAGTCATGTCTTTAATGTTCATGAAAATCAAACTTTGAGATTCTATCTTACATCATGAGATGAACCCCGTCAGAAATACTAAGGGATTGTTCGTATACTCCATAACATCTTTATATGAAAGGAATGCCCAAAAAAGGAGCAGAAACTTTTGATTAGACTCCTTAGCACACCCAAAAGTTAACTTCCCTTGTTCATATTAATTTTCATTACCCATCGATCATCTCCACCAGCAAACCCATTTCTGGTGACTTTTTCAACTTGTTTCATTCCAATAAAAATATTTAAATATCACCAAAGTAAGGACGGTCGTCAGTTTATGAGGTATCAATTGGTTTAAATGTATAATTATATAATAAGCAGGCCATCTGCAGTAGCGATTCAATATGTAAAAAAATAAAATTATATTTTATCGTCAATATGTGTCGCTCCCTTCGTGATTTTTTTTATATCATTACTTTACTATATTCATTGTTCAACCGTATGAAACGAAGCCTTAGTCCGTTGTCATTGCAAATTTTTTTTATATTTTAAAGTGAGACACAAAATTTATTCACAGTGTGTTTTGCTCGTTTATGTACTTACTCATCCGTCTGGGATTTGACCATGCCCAAATAAAATATAGCGAACTCCTCCAATGTACATGCTATTGCTGTTGCTTCTGCTGTTGATGATGACTTCTGGATGTGGTGAAACAAAAAAAAAATGAGAATATATAAAAATTGAGAATATAAGAATAAAGCATACATAGGAATATTAATGTAATAGAATCTTTTAATGGTTTTTATGTTACTTTATTGGTATGAGAGAAATTTATGGCTCTTCATGTGGTATTTATGGCTTTTTATTTTATTATAATGTTCCTTACACTTTTTTCTACTTGTGTATACAGAATTCGTACTCATGCTACGTAATAGAAGAAGACATCAGTGAGAATGACACCGGAAGTTGGTGATGTAAGCGCATCTTTTATTACAAAAAAAATCAGGTTGTGAATAGCTCGAAGGTAGTTAAACTCAGATTATTGATTTGAAATATTATTAATGGTGTTAATAAAACGTTTAACGATCGTTTAAAATTCAAATTGAAATTTATAGTGGCTCCTGATGGTTGATTGAAATACTTTATGTCATTAAGAGTGGGAGTTGAGTATTAAATTTGATCAACTTTAAAACTAGTCAGTTGAATAATAATTAAATGGGAAATTTTGTCAATATATCAAGTTTTTTTATTGGAAAGCTAGCATTGGTGGTGAGATTTGATGATAGACATTAATGAGGAGTTGTAGACAAGTTTCTGGATTTTATAGGTGGCGACATATTTGAAAATTAAACTGTCCAGTCATTGATCGAAGTAAAGAATTAAGAAAGTTTTGTTTGATCAGAATTTTCACTGGGGATGCAACCAGATATAACATTCATATTTGTATCGTATCCAAACCATGGAATCGACATTGTAGTATGTTGACAATATCAAAGGATTGAACCTTAACAGCTCAATTTCTAGTTCCTTTGGTTTTAGGTAACAACAAATTGTAATGTTCAGTTTACAACTCATGATCAATCAGTGTTGCATTCTGGCCATTTGTCTGGATCACTTCTTCTCTGATGTAGACCTGGAAAAAATGTAGAATTGTAGACATCTACATCGAATCTTTATGTAGAAATAATCTTTCTGTAGATTAGATTTACTATCTTCATATAGAATCGATCTTTATGAAGAAATTTATGTCTCAGACAAAAACTATTGAAGAATCTACATTCTTCATCTAGTGTAGACATCTACATTTGCAACACTGTGATCAACAAATCATTGTTCAAGTTATCAGGCACACACGCATCGTCAATTTGAAAATCAATAAGGTTTCAAATTGACGTGTGTAGGACGTTGAGCTATCTTATTACTTAGTTTATCTATCTAAAAGGATGTCATTGTACTGTCACTACAATATTTTACATCAAAGGGTCAAGAGCAGCAGTGGCAGTAACAATAAAGCTTACGTAAACTAATAAAGTTTATATTAATGATAGTTCCACACAACGTCAACGCGTCCTCAATTTAAACATCATTGCCACAAAGGCAAATCAGCTATCCTCAAAATAAGCTGATTGTATTCTGGAATCAAAACCATATTCCTTCATTTGAATTAAGCTTCATTGAAACTACATGTGACATTGTCTAGTAACGAAAAAGCAGTTTAAATCATGCTACATCTCAAATGGCAAATGTCAACGTCTAAGACAAAGTAAAGTTATCAACCCATCAATCAGAAAATTATGTCTTGAACCGAATAAGTAAAAGAGACGAGCACAAAAATTCGTTGAGGGATGAGAAATTTATGTTCTTATGGATAATGCATATTTTTTGGACATCACAAAACACCACCGCCAACTGGGTCGAGTAAGTGAGAAAGATAAATTCTTTTATTGTTGAGCATTGCATGAAAATAAAATTATATATATTTTTTATAATAATGCTTAACAGCAGGTTTTTGGCATTTATTTTATAAATATTTTTTAACTTCTTTACTTGCATGTTGTCATCGCCGTCCAGCCACAAACGAAAATAAAGTTGAATGAAAAATTACTCTCCTTTACTTGATACAAATTACTTTTCGATTGTGACGTAATCTGTTAACTTGACCCACATATTTTTCACTCACAATATTAAAGCAGCAGACTATATCGACATAATACACCATTGAGGCATTCAAATGAAGCAGTAAGTGAAAAGCGAGTCGGGTGAGTGAGAAAGAGGAAAGAAATTTCAGTTTTTTTGTGTTTTGTGCTTTGCTGTTCGATTAACATTCAGCCGCTCTCACTTACTCCTCAGTTTTTTTACACAGATTTCTGTTCACGACCTACTACTAAAGAAATATTGTTGATGTAATACTTTCGAACTTTCGATTTTTTTCGCTCTCTTGTGCATGCTTACTTCTTAGTCGAGCTCAGTGAAGAAAAAGTTGAGTTGGTTCATTTTCATTAACTTTTGTAGAGAATAATAAAAATTGATGGATGTTGGGCACTAAAGCGCTTTTTATCATTGAAATGATGAATTTTTAAGAATATTTGGATTTATTTCCTTCTAGAACAGCACTCGGGGGAAATTTATCGTTACTTTGTAGAAGTTAAAAAATATTTACGAGTGGAGTTTTCTTAGTGACAAGATTTGTGAGGAGTCATTCAAAAATTACGCCACACAATTACGTAACACTTCTATATGTCAACAAAAAAAAATAAAAGTCAAAAAATTTCAATTCTTAATTGACGTCATTTGTGAATGACCGAAGCATTATTACGATTTTGGTGAATGACCCAAAAGTGATGTGGGGACGTTCACTTATGACGTCCAGTGGTGGGGGGGGGGGGGGGGGGGGGGGGTCAGCAAGAAAAGAACAATAGAAATTCCTGGAAATCCATTGTTCTTTTTTGAAAAATGACCGTTAATTTCGGACGTCATAAGTAAACGACCCCTAAGAATCATTGCAAAAAATTAATCTATAAATAATATTTACTTATAATTATAATTCAGAATACACTAAGATTCGAACCCAAGACTCTACTGTCAGAATCGTGTGCATAATCATTGCACCATAATTAATTTAAATCTGTAATCACAACTTAACAAAAATCCCCACACAATCAATCCCAAAAAAATATTTTGTAAAAAAAATTTTCATTGATAAAAATAATTTTGCAACTCAAAATTCAATAATTCGATTTCATCGAATGATCTCCACATGCCATGGCCAATAATCGAATTAAAAATTCCAAAATCGAACATTTAATGTCTTACACACCAAATTCATAATTTTTTTTACTGTCCAACTTACTCAAACTGACCCAGAAACAAGCAATGTCACATGTCTCTCACAAAAATGAGTCAACAGTAAAAGAAGTAAACTATTCTTCTAACCAGACGAGACTTGGCCTTAATGTTTACGTGCTCTTTATCATGTTTTATAACTTTTACTGATACATATGTTGATATACATTCAGTAAAGTAAGTCTCCCGATAATGAATTATTGGAATTCCTTATTACACTGCAGTCTATGATTGACGTGACGTGAGGTGATTGTTGGTGAGTTAATGAGATTAATCAGTAATCTCTGCAAGACCTTATTAATTTTTTTTTCTTCATAAATTCATAGCGAATTGAAAATTATGTAAAGGAATTCAAAACCATAGCAAATTTTAAGTCTATTCAATTTATGGTATATAGACCAAGTTCAAATATTAATGAACATTAATTTTAAAAGACTATCTATGGCTTTAATATCCATAATACAATCAAGTCTAGTTAAGATTATAAAATATTCTATAACAAGAATTATGCCCCAAAAAAATGAGTAAGAATAAGAGGAGACAAAGCATTCATAGATTGGGGTGAGAATAGTATTAAATTGGACGATGATGATGATGATGTTAAATTCCATTCCAAATTCATTCTCAATTTTTTTTCTTTGCCTTCTCATGAACTCTTCAGTCGGTAATTCCTATTGTGTGTGAGAAAAAGAATCTGATTCTTAAACTTCATCAAAAGAATATTTTTTCTAGTTCTGGTTTTGATGGTGGAATGGAATTTGAAGTGTTAAGTTTGTCTGCATGACCGGATGGGATTATTATTCATACCAGAGTGGTAATGAAGTTCCAGTTGCTAAGGTGGGTTGCTCTGCTAAGTAGTATAATTGATAACTGTCACTGCCACCAATATAACTTAAGAATGACGCAAGATATATAGATGTGCTCATACAAAAATATCGCAGTTTTTAAACGTCAAAAATTTGAATTTTCTAAAAACACTAACACTATAAAAGAAAATTTTTAATATTTGTTTTGCAAAATTTTCAACTTTCTGTTAAGTTTTGTTGATACCCCGAACATACAAAGAGCATGCTCAGAAAAGTGAGCATATAAGTGAGTCTACTCAAAAAATGTACTAATGCAAGCTCATTCAACTGAGCATGCTCAGGAGTTCATTACGAATGTTCTCACTTTATTTTTTTGCAAAAAATTTATAAGCTCAGGTGAGTACATTCAACGAGTGTACTCATGAGAATATTAGAAACATACTTATGTGAATACACTCGTATGAGTGCACTTACTGAACATTCTCATGAGAATATTAAGAACATACTCACTTCTGTGTGACATAATTTCTTTACGTTCTCATATGAGTGCACTTACTGAACATACTCATGAGAATATTAAGAACATACTTCTGTGAATACACTCGTATGAGTGCACTTACTGACCATTCTCATGAGAATATTAAGAACATACTCACTTCTGTGTGACATAATTTTTTTACGTTCTCATATGAGTGCACTTACTGAACATACTCATGAGAATATTAAGAACATACTTATGTGAATATACTCGTATGAGTGCACTTACTGAACATTCTCATGAGAATATTAAGAACATACTCACTTCTGTGTGACATAATTTTTTTTCGTTCTCACATGAGTGCACTTACTGAACATACTCATGAGAATATTAAGAACATACTTATAATATTCACATTTTTCAAAAAATGTCGAATCGCATAAAAATTTATTCTTTGTTCGATTTTAAGTTGGTCGACGTTTTTGAAAATGTCGACTTACATAAAAGTGTATTCTAAGTTCGATTATAAGTTTGTTGACATTTTTTAGAAATGTCGACTAATATAAAAATGTATTC